TTTTCTTTCTTTCTTTCTTTCTTTCTTTCTTTCTTTCTTTCTTTCTTTCTTTCTTTTTGGCACGGGGGATTGAACTCAGGCCCTTGCACTTGTCAGGCAAGTGCTTATTCTACTGAGCTATCTCCCCAGCCCCTTTACTTTTCATCCGAGGCAGATTACTTATGTTAAGCTTCTGTTTCTTTTTGCACAATAAGGGAAATACTGTACCTGTGTATATAGGAGCACTCTGAGAACCCAACAAGTTCATCTCCTTACTGTGTTTTGGCATAGTCTTTGCACATTCAGAAAATGTCATTTTTATCTTTGCATTACTTGAAGTCACAGACTCAAAGCTAGTTATATGTACTTTAAGGATATACAAGTTATTTGATTTGAAACTCTCATTGCTGTTTGTTTCTCAATAAAATTGTGGGAAAAAATAAAAAAAGAATATACAAGTTATTTTATTAATTTCAGTTGCTTATGATTTTAACAGAAAAAGACGTCTCAAAAAAATCGAAACCAAGTATATACAGATATCTGTTGATACCTGGATAATTGAAGGAAGTTGAATATCTTTTTTAGATAATTTGTTAATTTAGGGAAAGAAACTCCAATTGTAGTTTCTTTTTTTTTTAATGTATTTAGTACAGGGTCTTATTACATTAGATAGGACTCATAGTGATCCTCCTGTTTCAGCCTCCCAAGCGCTGGGATTATGGGATTATAGGTGGGTGCCACCATGCCCAGTCTCCTTTGCAGTCAGTGCCCTGGGGGCAGGGCTGGCGCGGCACGCTGGGAATCGAACCTGGCCACTATGCTCTGTCTAAGCCTCCAATTGTAATTTCTTGACATTCTCGCATTTTCATTTTGAGGTTTCACCTGTACCTGTTGTGATAATCTTTCTTGAAAGAGAAACCAAAATGAACCTTGGTGTTTCCTCAGAGCTGCTGCCATATTGAGAGGTATAGACTCGTGTCTTCTCTCATTTCCCAGGAACTGGTTAAATTGCTCTGGTTTCTCTAGGCTGGAGCTTCAAATTTTTACTTTATTAATAGGTTCACAGTATGGAAGGGTAAGACCAGTAGGCCCAAAATATCCTTGGAAAATTCTTTTTTTTTTTTTTTTTTTTTTTTTTTTTTGCAACACTGGGGATTGAACTCAGGACCCTGTGCTTGCCAGGCGGGCACTTATTCTACTGAGCTATCTCCTGGGGCCCTTAGAAAATTCTTTAATGACTGTCCATTGCTCATTAGATTTCATTTTTGCAGAACCAGTATATAAATATCAAAATAAAGAATGTTTCTTTTCTAGGCAGAAAAACTGATGAAGCAAATTGGTGTGAAAAACGTGAAGCTTTCAGAGTACGAGATGAGTATTGCTGCTCACCTAGTAGACCCTCTTAACATGCATGTACGTATATTTACTCTTAGGGTTTTGGGGGCGTTTACCATTTTATGTCAAAGATCTGGAGGACTAGTTTCAGAGATACTCTAGGAGGAATCATAGAACTCAGCTAACATGTAGTTCTCACAGATGTGATTTATTGCACTGAGCTGATGCAAAGCAGAACCTGGAAAGGGAATGGAGTCAAGTATGGAGAAAATCAGACCCCTCTTCTTAGAATTGTGTCTGTGTGTAGCCACACGGCACATGCTTAATTACTGTCTCAGCAAGTCGTGTGTCAGTAACCAAGAAAGCTGACTCAACACTCTTCAGTGATTTCATTCAGGACTGGTCATGTAAACTTCTTTCTTAGGTATATCAAAAGTTTAGACACCCAAAAGGAAAAGAGACATTGACCTTAAACTTTTGTTGGTACAATGTAGGCAGTAAACTGTTTTTGTCAGGGAGTTGTGGGAACTCTCCTAGCTATACTCGTTGATACACTGTGTCAACTCGAGAAGTGTAAAAGTTTAAGTGACTCAGCAGAGAGCCAGGAATTTTAGTTTGTAAACATCCTCCTGTGCAGGAGGAGGGCATGGGCATTGTGTGAGTTCTGCACCTGCAACCCCAGGGTAGCTTGTTTATAATATAAGGAGGGGAGAGAGGCTGCCCTTCTCTGCTCTTCACTGTTTTCTGCTGCCATGAACTGCTGCCCTCTGCCCTGTGCCACTCTGCCTGGGAGCCAGCTGAGTATAGACTGAAACCTCCACAAACTGATCTGAGCAAACGTTTCCTTCCTTAACTTTGGGTGTTGGGTATTTTCTCCCAGAAATGAGTAAAAAGTAACTGAGACACTAACCAAGAGCCAGCTTATAAGGAAGCCTAAGATATAGGCTGTGTGAATGAACTCTTCTGTACACATTGCTTGGTGAAATTTAGTCTTTTATATATCTGCCTTTGTGAAATGTAAAACTTATTTATGTCATGTGTGCATTTGATTTGTGGAGTTTAGATTTTCATGCTATGTTATGGTAGATAACACGTGATCTTAGATCTCAAGTTTTCCACTTTTGGCCTTGCTAAGTGACTTCTTTAAGTTTTTTGTTCCCACAAGTATAATCTGAAGACAATATAATGATTTTTTGAGAATTAGATATTTTGGAGGTACTGGATATTGATCCTGGGAACCAGCCCTTTTATAGTTTTGAGACAGGGTCTCTCTTAAGTTCCCAGGCAGTGCTTGAACTTGTGGTTCTACTGCTTCAGCCTCCTAAGTGATAGCATGTGCTATCCGGCCTGGCTGAGGATCAGATTAATTTGTAAGTCCGAAGTATTCTGTGACTATTTTATGGCAACAGATATACTAAAACATATTTTTCTAATGCAACATTACATTGGTATATTAATAAGTAGAATTAAGTGTAATGGTCCTGTCTTCAAATCTAAAAAATAAAAATCTACCGTACCCTGTCATATGCAGTATATCGTAGGTACAGAAACATACACCCTGGAATTCAGCTTTCATTTCAGTTTGATTTATGAATTTACAGTGGTACCTTCTTAGGCCCTAACAGAATAAGTCTGTGCTAACACAGCATTTTGTTGCAGCTAAAGTAAATGTTGGGATTTTTCTTTAGATTTGGCTACTGGTTTTCTGCCATGAATTGTGAAAGAATGTAAATCTGCTCTAAAGTAGTACATTTTATGGACTACTAGATTAGAGGAAGGTTAATTTGTCTTTTATAATGCCTTTCAGTTTGACTCCTCATCTCCACTTTTTTAAAGGTTGATTCAGGTTTTCTCTGGCTGCCTATTCCCCTTTCTAGGCTAGGACCCAGATAGGGTCTTGTTAAACTGTTTAGGTTGGCCCTGAACTTGCTTTAGCCTCCAGAGTAGCTGGGATTATAGGTATGTGATAGCATGCTTGGCCATTGTCTTTTTTTGAAAATATATATCCCCTTACTACTTAAAAAGATGGTCCATAAGTTTTGACAGTTTTATTTTAGGTGGATAAAAGATGTCTAGTTCGATGGGTATAAACTTTATTTCTCAAATTCCTATTGTGTTTGATCTCACCCTGTATGAACTAGGTACCGTTTTCCTGGTGAGCGCTTCACCACTGATCAGTGCTAAATTATAATGGTGTTTTGGCTCACAGACTTATTCTTTCCGTGATTCTGGCCACAAACTGAATTGGACAAGAATCAAATTCAGTGGTTAGGTTCAAGGTTGACCTTCTGGGGAGCTTTTTTGTTTTTTTTTTTGGGGGGGGCTTTGATTCAGTTCCCATCCAGTTTGGTTTGCCCCCAGAAGCATAGATGGCGTTTGTGAGCCAAGGTGTCACTGTTCTTGAGCCAAAGCACCACTGCGTCTGTCTGAGCTGGGGCTCAGTCTTGTGGCAGGGTGTTTCTTCCTCATAATGGAGTGAAGTCAGACTGTTCGATTGCTGCAGACTTTGGGGCACCTGACACCCCACTCCTTACCTGCCCACCCACTTCCTAGCAGTGCTGGTGGAACACGGGGTCTCACTTACCAGCCAAGTGCTCCACCACTGAGGTCTACCTCTAGCTCTAGTACTTTTTTTCTTTTCTTTTTTTCTTTCTCTTTTGGCGGAACTGGGGATTGAACTCAAGCCCTTGCGCTTGCCAGGCAAGTGCTTATTCTACTGAGCCATCTCCCTGGCCCCTCTAGTACTTTTTTTTTTCCTAGTACTTTTTTCTAATAGTAGGAATTTAAATACTGAATTCTTTTTTTTTCCAGTGTTACATAGTTTATTAATTTTATTGTTGCAGTGAAAAGTTTTTAATTCATGTTAACATATAATTTAAACCTTTCATTATGTATGTGTAATCAGGTTAATGGTTTGCCATTGAGAGTGGGAATGTGCTTTTGCTTGGGTGTATGTTACTTGTAAAATTTATGTTGATCTTAACTTTTGCCAGGTTACTTGGAGTGATATAGCAGGTTTAGATGATGTTATTACAGACCTGAAAGATACAGTCATCTTACCTATCAAAAAGAAGCATTTGTTTGAGAATTCTAGGCTTCTCCAGCCCCCCAAAGGTATGCATAATACATACATATTTACTTGAAACATAAAAGTCTTGTGAACGTGGAAAGTTTGATTTTTATATAACTGATTTTTGTGAAATCAGGTCCCAAGAGAGTGAAGAGATCAAGTGAATTATTTGATAACTATCAGCTTTTTTTTTTTTTGTATTTTAGTAAGGGTCTACAGGGTCTTACTACATAGATTGGACTAGTAGGGATTCTCCTATGTTTAGCTTCCCAAAGAGCTGGGATTACTGGCGCATGCCACCATGCCCAGTCTGAATTGCTATCTCGGCTTGCCCCAGGGGCAGGGCTGGCACATCCCAGCTGCTTTAATCTGTTGAGCTATTTGGCTGGCCCTTAAATATCAGTTTTAAAATAATTGTTTATTGTTCTGCTTTTGAAATTTAATTAAATTCTTTAAAGTTACATGTCTAAATAATCACTATTGAAAACCCCTTTGTAGGGCGGTTGAGGGACTAAGTACCTGCTTAGGCAAGCACAGGGACCAGGCTTTGATCCCAGGCACCACATGCCTCGCTGGCTCTGCCCCCGGTCAGGAGACCAGGCATGGTGGTGCAAACCTGTAATCCCAGTGCTGGGGAGCCTGAAAACAGGAGGATCAGGAGGATCCCTCTGAGTTGGAGCTGTCTAGTGAGATCCTATATCAAATACATTTAAAAAAAAATAACAACAGAACTTATTTATTCATTTATTTATTTTTGAGACAGAGTGTCTCTGTGCAGTTCAGACTGGCCTTGTACTCACTTGTAGTCCCCAGCCTGGTCTCATAGGGATCCTGCTGTCTCACCTCTGGAGTGCTGGGATTATAGGTGTGTGCCACCATGCCCAGTTCTAAAACTGCTTTTTAGAGTAAGGAGATAGCTCAGTGGCATAAGCGCCTGCCTGGCAATGAGGTCCTGAGTTTGATCCCTAGTACCAAAAGAAAAAAAAAGCCCTTTTTATTACTTCCAAGTAAGTTAAAATTTAGGAAATAAAGATCTTTAAAAAATCCAGTGTCACAGTATATCCTTCCCCCAAGCTATCTTTTCATTGTTTCATAACTCTTAATTTTTTTTTTCTCCTAGTAACCTATTTTTAGATTGCAGTGATTCTTTTTTTGTGGATGAGCGGTTTTGAGATGGTCAGGTGGGCACTGAACTCTTGATCCTCCCATCTTACCATCCCTCGTTCTGGAATTAGAGGTGTTCACCACCATACCCAACTTTCAGTGAATTTTTATAGGAAATATTGAACTGCAGATGAACTGGAAATGATCACACGCTGCTTCCTGGGGGTGGCTCTGGGGCTTGGACTCATGAGCCTTTGCACTGAGCTACATTCCCAGCCCCTTTTATTTTTTATTTTGAGGCAGAGTCTCTGCTAAGTTGGTGAATTCTCCAAGCTAGGCTTGGATTTCTAATCCTTTCTTTTTTTTTTGGTGGAACCGGGGATTGAACTCAGGCCCTTGCGCTTGCCAGGGAAGCGCTTATTCCACTGAGCCATCTCCCCAATCCCCTCTGATCCTTTCTTTAGTCTCCCAGAGTGCTGTGATTACAGGCATGTGTGCTACCAACTCTGGCTAAGTGCTGTTTGTGGGAAACTTCCTTGTTTGTAATTAGTCATACTTTGAAAACCTTGGAACTTAAGATCTGAGATATTTATGATTATGCTCTAAATGTAATCCTTTTATTCTTGTTTCTACAATCATTCCTAAAGCTTGTCAGAAGCAATTCAGGTAGTGCATGCATGATTATTTACAAAGAGAAAAATAATAAATTTGATACAACTATATAAATATGTATATATATTTATTTTGTGGCAGTATGCATCCACATTAAATGAGTTCACAGTGATGAAGTATGTAATCCTGTACCTGCAATCAACCATGTGTTTCCAGCTTTAAATGAAATGACATAAAATTATTTTTTGTTTTACATACTCATCCAAAGAAAAAGTGTTACTAGAAGGTTCAGATTCTAACAGATTTAAGTAAATGTTAAGCACCTAAACGGACTTAAAGATAGAAAACCACTGGAAGATACTAACATGTACCAGCAAAGCTTATGGCTTGACATTTAAAATGAGCTTTAGAGGCAGATATGGTGGTCAAGTTTCTAATCTCAGCACCCTGAGAGGCTGAGGCAAGAAGATCTCAGGTACAGAAAGCACAAATCTGCTTTAGAGAAGTTGTTGTTGTTACTTGAATCTCAAAGAATTCATACTGTGAGGAAAGTCGGTGTACACTTGAATACAAGTTGGAACATTATTTTGAAAGGCCTGATATGAAAAATGAATTGGGTAATTTTATTATAATTTGAGAAATGAGCTTGAGTTTGTCACTTTAAAAATACAGAATTTTAGGGCCAGTCAGATAGCTCAGCGGATTAAAGTGCCTGCTTAGGCAGATGCAGAGATTGGGTTTGATCCCTGTCCTGCTGTGCTGGCCCCACCCCTGGGGCACACTGAGACCGAGTGTGGTGGCACACGCTGTAATCCCAGCCCTTGGGAGCCTGAAAAGAGGAGGATCACTACGAGTCTGATCTGTGTAGTGAGACCGTGTACTAACTATATATATATATATATATATACATAATTTCATATTGGAATAGTTATACAAAATATTTTCTTATTTTGAATTTTCTTTTTACTATATTAGGAATAGTGTAGATACCTCAGTAACTTCAGAGTACTGTCATTTTTATGAGCTGTGATATGAAGGGCTGGGGAGACAGCTCAGCAGCACAAGCACCTGCCTGCCAAGCCCCAAAGTCCTGAGTCTGAGTCCCCAAACCAAAACAAACAAACAAACAAAAAACTATGACCTGAGAAGAGTTAAACTTTTAATAAAGCAGGTATTTTGAGAAATCTGCAAATTAAGTGCAGTGCCTCACGCATAATCTTGGCATTCTGGAAGCCTCAGGTACAGAGATCACAAATTTGAGCCTAGTCTGGGCGATTTGACAATTTATGATACCCTGTCTGAAAATAGAAAAGGGCTGGAGATGTAGCTAAGGGTGAAGGTCGTGAGTTCAGTCTAATACTCCAAAAAGAAAAAAGTCTATAGGTTACAGTTTTCATTAGAACAATGTAGATTATTTATAAACAACCCTACAATTTATGTATTGTATTACTTTAGAAAATATGCCTTGGGCTGGGGAGATAGCTGGGCAGTCTAAGTGCCTGTCTGACATGCACACGGTTGTGCCACGCATCCTGAAACTGGGTGAGATGGTACATGCCTGTCATCAGTCCCAGCGCTGGGGAGGCTGGGACAGGAGGATCACCCACTGCTAGTCCAAACTGTGTTGTGAGCCCCTATCTCAAATAGATAAGTAAGTAAGTAAACCAATCAATCAATCAATCAATCAATCTGCTTTATTTCTGCTGTGAAGCAGTGATTTTGAAAATATTTAAGACTTCAATCTGTTTATATCTTTTACATGTTGAATGTACTCCCTTAAGTTGTATTTAGCAGAAAATTCCTGTCAATGGTGACTACAGGTTAATAACATGAATTCACTTGGAAATGAAAATAAGAGCAACTGATAATGTCTATATTCCTTTTAAGAAAAGATCATTATCCATTTGGAAAAAGATAGATGTCCTTTTGGTTAAAACAGTAGCAAAATGATGTTTACCACTGTCTGTCTTGAAGTTACTACCTTTAGGGTGTTGTCAAGGCACTGTTGCTCTCTTAGATGTGAAGGTGCAACGCATTAGATGACTTATGTTGTCAGTCATTGACAGAGTGGTATGAACTTGGATAATAGTGTGTAATTTCCTGAACTGGACCTTTTCATGAGCAGAGAAGGTGCACTAAATGTCTTTAGTGATAGTTTAGAACATTTCTTGCTACTACCTTTTTTGCTATCAGTAGATTCAGTAAATAATTAAATATTGGGAATGTTTTAGTGTGGGCAAAATATATATATATATATATATTCCTATATGTATTAGGTACAGAGTCTCGCTGTGCAGCTTGGACTTGTAGTGATCGTCCTGCCTCACCTTCCCCAGCACTGGGATTACAGGTTTGCTCCACCAAAGTCATCCGGGGCTGGCACAGCATGTGGTACCTGAGATCGAATCAGGTCATTGCACTTGTCAGGCAGGCGCCTAGACCGCTGAGCTATCTCTCCAGCCCACAGAATTAATATTTTTAATGTAAACATCTCCTTTTCTTAAAGGTACTAATACATTAACGTTGATTTCTAGGTGTTCTTCTCTATGGGCCTCCAGGCTGTGGTAAAACGTTGATTGCCAAGGCTACAGCCAAAGAAGCTGGCTGTCGATTTATTAACCTTCAGCCTTCAACACTGACTGATAAATGGTATGGAGAATCTCAGAAGTTGGCTGCTGCTGTGTTCTCCCTTGCCATAAAATTACAGCCTTCTATCATCTTTATAGATGAAATAGGTATGTTTTCCGAATAAGCACTTCAGAAAAACCATTTCAAAGGTGATACTTAGATAACCAGGTTTAGGTCCTGCTAATAAAAGGTGTAGCCAGCAGCATAATGTTATGTATTATTTCTGTGTTATAGAATAAACAGTCACCTGTTCATTCTCTTACTTGATAGACAGGTTTTTCTATTTTCTCTTACAAACCATACGTGTGGGCATACATTACATGTATATTTTCTTCCTAGAAGTTGAAATTGAACCTTTATCACCTTCCTTGAGTTAACAGTGGTCTGTAGACTCTCTAGTGTGTAGTTTGCTGCCCAGCATACTCTGAAGATTTATTTTTTTATATATTATTACTTTTTACCAGTTTAAAAATCTTGAATTACTTCACCATTGTTTTAGTTTGTATTTTCCTGTGTACTCCTAGTAAATTTGGCTTAGTATATTGATTAGCTGTTTGGATTTCTTTTCTTATAAGCTGACCATTTTTTGTTGAGTTATTTGTATTTTTCTTAATAATTTTTATGCTGATTATGATTACATGTATTTTCTAGGTTGACTTATAGTTTTGTTTATGATGCTTTTTACAATGATTTAAATTAGAGTTTAGTTACCTTTATCAATATTTTTTTCTGTAATTTAATACTTTTTATGTCTTATTTACAAATTACTAGCCTATAAATAGTTTTTTTAAAAAAACTTACATATACTTTCTCCCAATTCAATGAGAAGAAAGATTTGTACTAATAGTGTTTGGACAGGCTATGTCTGCGTTTTGTACTACGAGTAACTACTACGAAGACAACAATATGCGATGTATTAATTATTGAAACTGTCTAATCAGTTTTGAAGCTGTCTCATTGCTATTTCTCAATAAAATTAATAAAAAAAATAAAGACTTAAATAATGTGAGGTAGGAATCTGATTTCATTCTTATGAAACATTAGGACAGCTGGTTTATAGAATAAGTCATCCTTTATCACAACTTTTATATTACTAAGCTATATTTTATGGACAGTTGGTGTTTTTGTTATGTTTCTGGTATAGTAAGTTATACATATATTCATATATATGATATACTTAACTGCTGTACCTTTCAATTACATACTGCTTTGTGCGTTATGTGTGATAGGCTATAGACAGATACATTTGCAGTGTATAAATTTGGTCATTTATTTGCCTTTGTATCTTATTGATTTACTCTTTCAACTATTTTTGACTTTTAGTGTGTATATTGAAAAGAACATATAGCTGGATTAAGAATCTAATTTTTCTGTAACTCAAAAGTATACTTAAATTTGTCTGTATTATGATAGTAGATACATTCAAGTTTATTTCTACAATGGAGTTTTGTGCTTTTTATTTATCAGTTGGTGGATTTTTTTTTTTTTTTTTAGAAGATTTTTTTTAAACATTTATTTGTGTGTGTGTGTGTGTGTGTGTGTGTGTGTGTGTGTGGCCAGCTCAGCCCACCAGGGGCCGGGGCTGGCTGGCATGTGGTGCTGGGGGATCGAACCGCGGTTCTTTGCCAAGCTTGTTCCAAGTAGGTGCTTTAGACCACTGAGCCATCTCACCAGCCCAGTTGGTGGATTTTTAAATTTCCCTTTTTAAAAAAATAAATGTCCCTTTTCTCTGATGTGTATATAGAAGTTACGTGTTCGTTTTCTTCTAGTGAAACATTCGGCACACCTACTTGTCTTAAAATTCTAAAACTAAACATTTCTGCCTTCCTCCAGACCTTAGAACTCTTACATAGTAATAATCCCAGTAGTTTAGTTTCTTAAAATCCTTATTGTCATTTTATACTAGTGTTGCTTGTTCAGATAACTGTATTAGCCTGACTGTTCTGAATTTGACTTTTTTTACTGAAGTCTTTTAAAGTTCTTTCAGCGGAAGTTGTAATGAGTAAATTCTTTCTTGCATCTTGTCACTTAAATGATACAGAATTATTTTCTTCAGCATTGTGAAGTTGTGATTCTGTTGCTTTCCATTTTTTTTTTTTTAATCTACTTACTGACTAGTACTTTTAAGCAATCAGTATATTTTTTCTCCATGGTTCCTATTAGATTTTTATGTTGTTTGGCTGTTTATGATTTTTCCAAGTCTAGATTTGTGTTTGTCCTGCTGTCTCTTAATAGTTTCTTTTTTTTTTTTTTCAAAATTTTATTGATAAACAGATAGCAATGAGACAGTTTCAAATCAAATCGGTAGGACAGTTTCAATAATCAACACACCACATATATTCTTCTTAGTGGTTATTTAAAATTCTTTTTTTTTTTTTTTTGGCGGAACCAGGGATTGAACTCAGGCCCTTGCGCTTGCTGGGGAAGCACTTATTCCACTGAGCCATCTCCCCGGCCCCCTCTTAATAGTTTCTAATCTGAAAATTTATGGTTTTCTAATTCGTAATCCTGGAAATTTTTCTCAGCTTTCTTTGAATGTTGTAATTCTCCAATTAAAGTTTTTTTCTATTTAATTTTAAGTAATTTTACACTTTTTGCGTCTAGTTCTCTTTTATATTTCATCATTTCTCAATGTGCTGTTTCAGTTTTTTATATTTTGACATCCTTAAGAGTAGAATAGCATTTTATAGTTTTAACTTTTTAATGTTATAGCTTAATTGGCAGTATTTAAAATTTCTTGTTGATATGTGTACAGCTTGAAAAATCACCCCAATGTAAAATTAGGTTATGAAAAGCAGTTCTTTTCTTGGTAATATTTAACATCTCAACCATTACATTTTGCATTCTCTTGATATTTGAACTTTAGCATTCTAACCAGTTCTTTTTCAGAATTTATCCTTTTTGTCACTATAGTTTGCACTTCTGTTAAAATTCTGATCTTTTTATTTTTTTATTATTATTTTAATGTATTTGGTTGTTATAGCATCTCACTGCGCAACCCGGACTTGTGGTGATCCTCCTGCTTTCAGCCTCCCCAGGGCTGGGATTATCGGTGTGCACCACTATGCCAGACTCTGTGGCCTGCTCAGCCTGCCCAGGGGGTGGGGCTGTCATGACATGTGGTACCAGGGATTGACCCGCAGTCTCTGCACTTGCCTAAGCTTGCCTAAGCAGGCTCTTTAGTCCGCTGAGCTATCTCGCTGGCCCAGAATTCTAATCTTTTTATATCTTTAGAATTTTATTTATTTAATTTTTCATGGTACCAGGGGTTGGACTCAGGACCTTGCACTTGCCAAGCAAGCACTTATTCCACTGAGCTATCCCCCCAACCTTTTAGAATTCTAAACATTTCAGGGGCTGAGAATATAGCTCAGCGGCATAAGCATCTCCTGGCAAGTGCAAGGTCCCAAGTTTGATCCCTGGTACTGCCAAAAAGGAAAAAAAAAAGC